AATTAGGTAGAAAACAAACACCGACAAATGTTATAAAAACTGTATTTGTGGTAAGAACTTAAGAATATGAAACAAAATGCCCGTGAAGAAAAGTATACACCTAAATGAAAAGATTATTATAAGACCGTCCTTTAATATTTGCTGTAAAATTATCTACGGTAAACCTACACCGCCTTTAAAACAAATTAATAATAATAACACCGATTCTGCCAACCTTCGAACGACAAGTAAACATCAGACCAAGTATCGATAATAGATTATTTGCAATGTATCTATTTGTATAAATATCTAACGGTTAAACTGATATATAGAACTTACCACAGAAAACTAACTATAAAACGTCATAAACAGTTTTTTTGTTTTTAAATTAACTATGACTATCTCGTTGGCCGAGTGGACGCAAGTGCGACTGCCGGACAAGGGGTCTCGGGTTCGATTTCAGGGGAGGGCAAAGTATTATAGGGATTTTAAAAAAAATCTCAGTAGTTGCACGGAGTCTGATAATGTACCCGGTAGATGGCAATAGGCCCACCCCTTAGTGAGTGTTACATTGTACAATAGCATAATGTGCACCTCTGACTACACCTCCGGGGATAACAGGCGTGATGTTATGTTATGTTAATTCACTATACTAAATTGTTGCAAATACACATCAATGAGTTTCAGAGTTCAATCGTTAAACATAAAAAAGTAATAGGTAACTGATAACTAAGAATACTGTAAGCCTACTTCATTTTGAAGTTGTACTTACTTAAGCATCGTGCATCTCTGTCATTGTATAAAGAATTTGTTGTGACAGAGATACCCGTACCCGTACCTATACTTAACCCGTTGAAATTCATCCTCTAAATTTGTTCATACAAAAGTAGTCTCTTAACATTGGAAATTATAATGTAGTTAGTGGAGGGCGGTCACCGGTAACTGCTTGGGGATGTATGGGTTGCAACTTAAAATTGAGTGACGTTTGAGTATTTCAGCGATAGGTACTAATTTATAACATAACATAACATCACGCCTATTATCCCCGAAGGGGTAGGCAGAGGTCCACACAGAAGTAACACCCACCTTTACTATTTATGTTATAAGTCCCACGTAATAGGGTGTGAGCCTATTGCCATATACCGTTCACAATTCCAGACTCCATGATACTACTGAGATTTTTTTAAAAACCCAGTAATACTTTCCCCAACCCGAGAATCGAACCCGAGAATCCATGCTCGGCAGTCGCACTTGCGACCACTCGACCAACGAGGCAGTCTTACTTATAATTATATAATATTATACTTTGTTACAATTATTGTAGGACATAGGTCAAACTGTTTGAGTAGTTAAATAATATTATTAAGTAAGTAGGTATTAGTAGCCAGACTAGCAATTACGTTACAAAGATGTTATTTATTTATCAGACTTAGAAACTATAAACTGACAGTTAAATTGAAACAGGGATGAATAAATAGAAATATTCTTTATCTATCTATCCTTGAGTTTAAGTTTGTATTTTTGCAATAAAATGAAAAAAACATAAACTACGTTTAAAGAAAATCGTGTTCGACACCCTCTTTTTGAATCACTACATAGTATAAAACAATGTCGTCTGTCTGTTCCTATGTAGGTATGCTTAGATCTTTAAAACAACTAGATTTTTTAAATAGATGATGTGATTGAGAGTGATTCTTAAGGAAGGTTTATATAATATATTGTATAATACATGCACATTGAACTCATGCGAAGGCGGGGCGGGTTGCTCGTAATAAAACCTTCTGAGTGTAACAATCACTTTTCTGTTCGGTTTAGCCAAGCGAGAGATAATCGCGGATAAATATACCTACATACAGGTCGAACTATATACAAAACATAACTTAATTAAAGGAATTTTAATATTAAAAAAGGTGCTGATAATGAACACATAATCGACATAATTTTAGTCATTTGGTCGAAAAAATTGAGTTAGGTACCTAACCTTGAATGTTTTCCGGAAGTTTTTAAAATGTCAAATACAGAAACCTGGTTAAGTGAGACATCAAGGGACCTGCAATGTCGATTCACTTATAGAGGTATTCCACTTAGGTAACCAGTGTCTCAGATATACAGGTATAAATAAATATCTGTCTCATTTACAGAGGGTTCCATTAATAGAGGTGGACTTGGAATTACGTGTGAAATTTGTGGATAGAATAAGAATGAGTAAACAAACAATGTAATCTCAGTTACATAGGTTTATGCATATAAAATTTACTCGCTGTCTCAGTTATAGAGGTAACTATGATGATAAATCGAAAGAACAGATCCCAGATATCTATAGAGGTTTACCTCGTCCCACTAACAGAGGTAATTCAGTGCCAAAGTGTTGGGACCTCAGCATGAGTTTCAGTTATGGAGGTTTATCACTTATCCATGTCCCACTTAACCAAGTGTCACTTAGATTTTGATGTGCTCTTCCAAGTTTCCATTTTCAAATTACCTCTATAATAATTAGCGCCAGATTCAATTATGAAATGCAAAGATATCAATTTTTGCTTCATTGCTATTAAAAATCTAATAGGCTTTTTATGCAATTATTTTTATAATATCGTAGACAAAGTCGTAATAGTGTCTAGATATTTTATGTATGTCAGGTATCTTTCGTTGGTTATGTACTTAACGTATCAGCAGTCAGTTATCTCTTGAGGACGGTAGGTAATGGTCTAATGCGGTCAAGTCCTGTTAATTGCTGATTGCCAGACCGTCGTTCGTCGTTCCATGGTAGTTGGAACTATAACATAATATCCCGCCTTTTATCCCCGAAGGGGTACGCAGAGGTGTACTTACTACTGCTGTACAATGTAACCTCCACTGTTCACTATTTATGTTGAGTCCCATGTAATAGGGGGTGAACTTATTTCCATACGTCGCCTTGTCTACCGATTCAGATGTTAAGAATTATAAATAATTTAAGAAACACAAATAGTGTCGGTTATGACGGAATACCCACTAAAATAATTAAATCAGTAGATAAGAGTATTGCAGGCCATTTAAGCCATATCTTAAACCTGTGTATAGTAAAGGGTACGTTCCCAAAAAACTTAAAACTAACTATCATAAAACCCTTGCATAAAAAAGAGGATAAATTGTTAATGGAGAACTACCGACCAATAGCTCTTATACCTATATTCTCTAAAATATTTGAGAAATACTTGTACACAGAAATCAATAGTTATTTAGAAAAACATAAGATTCTATGTAATAATCAAAAGGGTTTCAGACAAGGAAATAATATTAACATGGCAGTTTATGACTTCTTGTACGATGTATACACTCATGTGGACAAGTCCTTGCCTGTCTGCTCAATATATTGCGATATGTCACAAGCTTTTGACTGCGTAGATCATAATATTTTAGTAGAAAAACTGTCAGCATACGGTATACGAGGTAATATATTGGAATTGATCAGGTCATATTTAACAGATCGTCAACAAATAACAGAAATAACAAAGTTCAATCCAACAACTAAAAGGGAACAGATATTTACATCTCATAAGCGTGACGTATCCTATGGCGTCCCTCAAGGTAGTGTATTAGGTCCCCTTTTGTTCTTATTATACATAAATGACCTACCTTCGGCCACAACAGAACCTATGGTCCTTTTCGCTGACGATAGCACCGTAACAATAAAATCTAAAGATCCAAATAACTACAATTTCGAAATAAATAATTCCTTGTCAAATATAATCGACTGGCTTAATAACAATAATTTAAAAATTAACCTCAAAAAAACCAGTATAATGCACTTTAGGCAGCGAGAAAACATAACTAATTCATTACCAGTTAATCTAATTTATAACGAGTATACTATACAAAAAGTAGACACAACTCGATTCTTGGGTTTAATTATTGATAGGCAACTCAGTTGGAAAAACCATATTGACGGACTAAGTAAAAAAGTTAGTAAGTCAGCATACGCTCTTTATAAACTGGCACCTACCGTTAACAAGGAAACTTTACTCACAGCATATTACGGCCTTGTCGAGTCGGTACTGAGGTTTGGGATAATCTTTTGGGGTAATTCCACTCACAAGGATATAGTCTTCAAACAACAAAAACGTTGCATAAGAGCTATGTTCGGAATAAAAAGTATGGACAGTTGTAGGCCGCTATTTATTGAATACAAAATTTTATCACTTCCGTCTTTATACATACTTGAAGTTGCATTGTTTGTTAGAAGTAACTTGCACTTGTTTCCGCGCTTATCCGAATATCATGTTAGAAATCGACGTAATAATAACATTTGCATTCATCCATCTAGAACTGCATTGTTGCACAAAAGCATATTATGTCTGGGTCCTAAAATTTATAATAAAATACCTAAATCCATACAAGCCTTAAATTTTAACATGTTTAAAAATAAACTCAAACGTTTGTTATATAAGAAATGTTATTATAATATAGAAGATTTTTTGAAAGATAAATTAGATTTGTAATACAATTAACATAATTTTATTGTACCTGTAACGGTTAATATTGTCTTCTGTCTTTTTTGCTTATTTAGTTTTGCATGTATATATTCTTTTCACTACCTGCTGTAATATTTAATTATAATTTTAAATATTTGTACGCCAAAACGGCATAACATGTAGCTCATACTCCGAACTTAACACCATTGCATGTACTCTTGTAATATTACTCATGTTAACGCAAATAAAAAATATCTTTATCTTTATATCTTTATCTTTATCATATACCGGATGTATTTTCAGACTCCGTGCTACTTACTACTAAGATTTTTTTAAAAACCTCAATAACACTTTACCCTACCCGGAAATCGAACCCGAGACCCCTTGACCGGCAGTCGTACTTGCGACAACTGGGCCAATGAGGCAGTCTGAAACTGTAACGTTGATACAATTTCTCTTAGAATATCACAGCTTGATAGAAATTATTGTTTTTATAATGCAAGTAAATTATGCGTTGGTGTTTAAAAATATACGTTTCGACTGAGGATTGAAAAGAAACGAACCAGGTCAGGGTAAAACAGGGTACAAAAAAATTAAAAAACTTCGTTTTTATTAAAAACAATAGGTAGGTAAAGTATCAAATCCTAAACCAAATATCAAATGTAAAAACTAAGGATAAATTAATTTTTGGCAACAATTTAAACAATAGCTATTTCTTCTAAGGGCTGTGATTTCAGGTAAATCTTGATGGCATTGTATATCTTTTGTACTGGTTTCTCCAACATAGGGTTGCCAAATTCTTGGGAAATCGCCTTCCAGTTTTCATTCATAAATGTCAGCATGGCGTCACCTGGGAACCAAAAACAAATATCGTTAAAACATTGCGAACAAGGCGAACAGTCTCATGGAACAACGACTGTGGCACCTGACTACTATAGGCTTACACGCAGAATACACACACATTGACACAAAGAACATATGTCGCATGACATGGTCCGTCATTACACTTCATACATTACGGTGTTACGAGTAGGTATACACACACATAGATACACCACCGACATTATGGTGCTTTAATAATTTCCAAGAGGCATTACGTCCGCCTTTGTTTTTTTTTTATGGCATAAACCGGTAAACAAGCAGACGGATCACCTGATGGTAAGCAATCAGCGTCGCCCATAGACACCTGGAACACCAGAGGCGTTACAAGTGCGTTACCGGCATTTTGGGGATTAGGAATTTGAGGATTGTGGGGGATTCGGGGATTGGGAAGATTGGGGACGGGGGGGAGTTGGGGTGATTGGCCTCCGGCAACCTTACTCACATGACGAAACACAACGCAAGCGTTCTTTCACGTCGGTTTTCTGTGAGGCCGTGGTATCACTCCGGTCGAGCTGACCCATTCGTGCCGAAGTCCAGCCCAGGTTTCCATGGGCGACGCCGATTGCTTACCATCAGGTGATTCGTCAGCTCGTTTACCGGCTTATGCCATAAAAAAATGGATATATTTGTGCGCGATGACCTCGCGATTGGCTTAACCGATTTTGATGCAGTTTACAGAAAGTGTTTGTTACACTTAGAAGAAAGCTTTAGTATATTAATTAACCGACTACAAAATAAGAGGGGGTTTCAGTCGGTTTATTTAAACGTAGTTGGGCCTTTACAAACGTGCGAACTGTTACGGCAAGGCAAAGGAATGTGTCGCGGAGAACCTAACGGGTAACCGGGGCTCCGGCTCGACGTGCAGGAGAAGGAACGGGGTGGTTTTTAGTCAGTAAGAGGCTGACACTCCCTCCCGCCTCACCCAGGCGGGAGCAGTCATTCGATAATTTTCCCCCCTTAAAAAAAAAAGGCAAAGGAATGTGAATGTGACAATACCGCACAACTCGCGTAAGTGTGAGCAAGAGATCGGATAAAAATGCCTTTTACAGGTCTGTAATGACCCATCCATAGCCAGCTAGCTATTAGCTATTAGAATAAAAATAAAACTACGTTAAAAAACCCGACTTCAAAAACCTAAAAAAAATAGGTATATCATTGTACTCAGACCCACAAGTTCTTATGATGATTATTATTATCTAAACGTAGTACTTACTCAATTGTTTGTTGCCATTGAACAGGTTGGTCAGTTTAAAGTGAGTGTTTTCATTGTTCTCGTAAGTGTATTTGTAACTCTTTAACTCGATGACGTCTTTGCCTTGCTCATTTTTGACGATGTCGTAGGGCATAGTCAGGGTGATTACGAGATTTTCTGGAGAGAAAAATCAATTTTGTTTAAAGAAAAATTGTCGTAGATACCTATAGAGGTAGATATTTCTAAAAAGGTTTCATCTGATTTAACAAGTTCAGCTATCTTTATGATAATTTCTAACACTCATACTATTCTACTCATACTCTAACACAAAGTCAATTTATTTCAATTAGACCAGGGAGACACTTTTGAACGTGAACAAAACGTTTTAAGTGAAAGTATTAGCTCATTTCAAGGTGTAGAAAATAAAGCATTCAATCCCCGTACCTATATTTACTTTAATAATCATTTGGAGTTTGCTTATTTTTATGATTCTTGAGTTCTTTTTCATCTTCATTGACACTGCTACTAGTGTCGCTATCGTCCTAATTTTGAGACCTAATCGTATCATTTTCAGATATTAAAATATTTTTAATTGTCTTAAATAAAATTAGCTTTCTTTTTCATGTCTTTTGGTCTTTTGGCTAGAAGACCGGATAATACTTACTAATTTTGATAGTAACATCTCCGTCTCCACTGATGGGTAGGATGAGCAACATACCACCGGCCTTATACTTGCCCTTCAACACAATAGGAGCTACATGGTAAGTCAACTCGATGACTTTCTTTGCTGTGTCCACTCTGAAATCAAAACATTAATCGCTGTTAATGTATTTAAAACAGCATTTTCCAATTTTATATACTAGAACGTAAGAAATAAAATATGGAGTTAAGAAATAAATTATGCGTTGTAAGGTTTGCAGTTTTAAGTATTATCTGACTTTAATATTACATCGCAGTGTTGTTACTGGTAGTCATTCTATTATTGAGTACATTGGACCTACAATATGGCTGCTATTGCCACGAAATTACTATTGAAAATCGTAATTTCTAAGGAAATCCTAATGAAAATGACTTTATGTTGTAAATTAGACAGATAAAGGTTTTTGAAAACTTACTTAAGTTTGTCAATCACGGATTTCTTGAGTCCCTTAATGTCAGCATCTCTGACAGTGAGCTTCAGGCCAGACAGGTCGATCTTGATGACATCAATGTGGACTGGCTCCAAAACTTCAATGCCCACCTCTGAGATTCCACTGGTAAATGTTTCTACGAAAGCCTGGGCAGTCTTCTTCAGACATTCTGGGTCAGATAACTGGCATTTCTGGATTGGTGGTACTGGAATTTAAAAATATATACAATTATAGCATAGGGTGGACCTATCACCTATTGGTAAGCATCAGTGCTACCTATAGACACCCACGACACCAGAAGAGTTACGAGTGCTTTATCAGCCCTTTGGGGATTACGTTTTTGAGCATTCGGGGTTATTACTTAACGGGGGTAACTTTTCTATAACGGTTATGTTAATTTTAGAGGATCTTAGGGTTTCTGGTAGTAAATTAATAGATATCCTAAGAGTGCGTCCACATCTGGCAAATGCGCCGTGAATGTGTCGCACGCGAACCGTTTGCGATTTGCCCGCGAACTGCGCGCGTGCATTCACGGCAATATGGTTTAGTACTCAACTCATACAAGGTTCGTATACCTCTAAATAATAATTTTAAATGCATTCGCGTAGCATTCGCCGTATGTGGATGCACCCTAAGAAATGGAAATCGTTACTAACGACTTTTAGAATAAGAATAAAAATAATTTAAAATAATTTAGACGAATAAAGTTGTAATGCAAATAGCTCAAAGTTGGTCCCTATTTTATTTAGGTACGTATCTAAGTACAAAACAGATAGGTAACCCAGGCTACATACAAATTACAATTACAACTCAATTTTTAAATCCATCAACAAACAATAATAGCAACGGGATTCATTATCAACTAATAATATTATCATCATACAACTAGTTCCTTTGTTTCTCAATCCTATTAGCATTAAGAAAAACCACTAATTATACCAGTTACAATATCATAATTGGCATTACGTCATGTAGTTGCAACATGCCTTAATAGACCTAATTACCTAAGTAGGTAGGTACTAGGTATTCATGTAAACTTAGGACATTGAGTAGTTGATCACAATAATTAGCTAGGACAACTGGCTACACATCTACCTATACATAACCAGTGTATCATGGTCTCACTTTATTAGATTTTTCCGCATAATCAACGGTCACTTTATACTGGTTATTGTGTAGCGTGTGTACATGGACTATTTGCTAGTCATTTTAACTGACAAGTAGGTAATGCAATTACTTTGTTGTCATTGTAACATGCTATGTATTTAAATGGAATTAGTTTAATTATATTGTTCAACATAGTATGGTTAGTGATTCTGCGGATATACAGAGCGGATATGAATGGGGCCGTCAGTACAGGGCGCCCTAGGCGGACATATTATACTGACCAGATTGGCGATATATTAAAGAAGGACCATATTAAGTACCCTTAACCGACGATCATGCATGAAAAGATTGATGGCTGTTGATGAAACGAAAGAGGTATGTACTTCTATATAGGAATCGTAGCATGTTCCATAGTCTCTGCCTAACTCCATGGTAGACAGGCGTAAAGTTATGCATGTTTGTATGTATGTATGATTCTGCGGACGGCCTAGCGAATTACCAGGGCTCCGCCTCAAAGTAGGAGTAGAAACGGAGTCGTTTATAGTCAGTAAGAGCCTAATATCCTTTCTAAAAATCACTCTCTAGAAATCACTCTCATGGCGGAATGGCAGCAACGACTGTCGCAACCGAGGGCTGGGCTCGCTGCCATTGCAGCGGTAAGTCCCCTCTTTGAGGAGTGGCTTGAGAGACGCTACAGCGTCCTCACCTACCGCCTGACGCAGGTCCTCACCGGACATGGAAGTTTCGGGAGGTACCTGTGTCTGATGGGACGGGAGGAAACGCCCGGGTGTCATCGAGAGGACACGGTGGAACACACAGTGGGAGAATGCCCTGCGTGGGCTGAGCACCGCCGTGCCCTCAGGGAAGTGATCGGCGATGGCGACCTCTCGCGTCCGGGCCTAGTGCAGGCCATGATGCGGAGCGAGGGGGACTGGGATGCCGTCTCCTCCTTTTGCAAAGCAGTCATGCTAGCTAAAGAGGAGGCGGGACGCGTGAGACAGCGAAGCGCTGCCTCCACGCAACCCAGCCATCGCGAAGGACACACCGAGCGTCGGGGAACCCGGGACGATCTCCGGCCACCGTAAGCGCGGGACTGCGGACGGCGAGCATGGGTGGCTCCCCGTCCGACCAGAAATAGACCCGAGTGTACGGCGCGTCGCGTTCCGCGCGCGCCTCAAAGAGCCATCAGACCACCACAGGTGGGGCCCAATAGGGCTGTTGCCGATTCGGAGTCGCGGAGAACCTAACGGGTAACCGGGGCTCCGGCTCGACGTGCAGGAGAAGGAACGGGGTGGTTTTTAGTCAGTAAGAGTCTGACACTCCCTTCCGCCTCACCCAGGCGGGAGCAGTCATTCGATGATTTTCCCCCCTTAAAAAAAAAAAAAAA